GCTCGTCTGAGGTAGGCTGCGAAAGAGCCGGGATCGAGCTCCTCAAATCTCCGTGTTGGCGGGGCACGTAAAAAGGCGGAAGAAAAACTCTCGTTATTCTTTTCGGTCGTTACGGTTTGGATTGGGATGCTCGAGGTGGTTCGTTCAGGATGTTTTCGGGTTGATGGGTTTTATTCCTGACTTTGTACGCGGCAATGCTTTCGCTGCTTACAGAAGCAGGTCTCATCGCTTCGGGGGATTGAAGTGTTAATTGGGTTTCAAACTGATCAGAGCGTTAGGAAGCAAAAAAATCTTGAAAGGATGGAGAACTGTGACGGTTGCAAAAATAGGACGCTTTCTGGGTAAACGCGACGGGAATGCGTGGTCGTGGCACGGTGCTCTTTTGTTGGGTCTGCAAGTGGGTTTGAGTAGCCGTTTGCTTATTTGTGGCAGAGTTTGGGTTGGTCTGTGGCCGGTGCCATAGTTGTTGAAGGTTCTTCCAAAACCAACGGGGGAAAAAGAAGGTTCCCTTTATTCTGAAAAAGAGAAACTTTCTGAAGTTGAGCGAGATGCTGATTGCAGGCATCGTTTTTCTGGCAGTTCATGTGATCTTCTTCCGTTTTCAGAAAGGAAACATCTGGAAAATTAACAGCTTAATTTTAAGAGTTTTAAGTTTGTGTCTTCCTCTTGACTGTTTTGCTTAGCGCAAATATATTGCATCATATGTTAATCGTTATTTGTTTTGTGAACCTTTGCAGGTGACTGCAGTAATTTGTGCATAGCCTCTGTAGTTTATTGAATTACAGTAAGAATAGTTTTGTGCCTGAAAGGAACGAAGGCAGCAAGACAACCTTCATTCTCGTTTTAAATTGAGCCATGGCTGAACATCGGTCGTAACTCAAACACCAGAAAGTTGCCTGCAGAGCTTTGCAATGTAAATATATATATATCTATGCAATGCACTGGTAAACACAGGAAAGTAGCATGCTCTTTGAGTGCAATCAACTGCCTTGTTTTGGGGGCAATTTTAGATGCTGCTTTACCCTACAGACTCACATCAGTTGTCTTGATCTTGGTATGTGGAAGAACACTGCTTTTCGTACCTTTTTTTTCTTAAAGTTATACAAGTACAGACCACTTTACAAAGCTTTTTGCCAAGTGGTTGCTGCTATCTTACCACCCAAGGATATTTGGGAGACCAAGTGGGTATTTAAATTGCCATTCAGACTGACCTAATGAATGTGCTATCTAGTTACAAATAGTGAGTTGATCCCCCCCCCCCCACTTTTTCAAATCTTGCTGCTACCATCACTGACTTGTTTTTCTTTATTTTGTGGACGAAGTAGGTGAAAGTTGTTCTACTAAGAAGTAGCAGCTATTCTTGATAATGCATTCTTGAGGTTTCTTTATTAAACAGGTACTAGCAAAGATAACCCATGTCTGTTTCTTTGAACTGAATTTGCAGTATATGGGGAGGATAAGGGTAAGGTTAAGTATTACTTGTCTTTGAGCATAGAAAAAGTCCCTTCTAGTGGGTGAGGTTAAACACTATTCCTCTTTACTCATCTTCTGAGTGTGTGTGGGGGGAAGTCCCCTCAATTGAAAAAAAAAAAATAAATTTATCTCTTCTTAAAGGTTCTGAAGCGACTATCTGAAGACTTCCTTTTTGAAAACTTAAAAAGCAAGAACAATTCTGTTTTAATAAATGAAGGAGAACAAAGAAAATTCCAGCCCTTCTGTAAACTTGGCAAACCTGGACCATACAAAGCCATGTTGGTACTGGGATAAGAAAGATTTGGCACATACACCATCACAGCTAGAAGGGCTTGATCCAGCTACCGAGGCACGATACCGCAGAGAGGGGGCCAGATTCATATTTGATGTGGGAACACGTTTAGGGCTGTATCCTTTAAACTCATGTTGGTATGAAATGTCTTTATGAATGGGGATTTTCAGAATGAAATGTACAAGAAATGTCACGTGCTTAGTTAACTGTTGAAATGTTTCTTAATCATTAATCAGAAATCTTTCTGAGTTTACTTGCCTTTCCTACACAATTTTTATCCATTCATTGGATAAACGAGGTTTCACCTGAACCACTTTGGCAATAGAGAAGGTGATACACGCTTGCCAATTAAGGATAACTTTTGGAAGTTACAAAACTCAGCCTCTTACTACATGAATCCATGTAAATTCTCAAATTTTGAATTTTGCATTCATTTTTCTACGTATGTCGCCTCTGAGGCTTCTAACCTCTCCCATAGACTGCCACTTAAACTTTTTGCTTCCTATACTCCTATGCTTCTTTTAATACTCTCAATTATTTGTTTAATAAAACCTGGTGCAGATGAAATTTTATTCTTCTCTTTAAAGAGAAGAGTAGGGAGCACATTCAGATTTTATTTCAAAATTTTAATGTGAAGTGATAATTGTTCTGTTCCTTCATGTACCTACTGCTGGTTTTGACCTTCTCTGAAGCAGGTGAGGTTTAATACGAGGATGACCTTGTGTGGATCCTCCTATAAACATGATTGGGACTTTGCACACTTCCAATAAATGCTTTAGGTATCAACTGCGTCTGGGCTCAATCATAGAATGAGGCCTTTTTTTCTAAAGCTTCTGTTTTACTTGCAGTGTTTTCTAACTGGTCACTGAACAGACAATTACTTGAGGTATTGGTACAGCAGAATGTATCTTTTCCTTTGTGGGTGTTCAGTTTTAAATTTGTTTTATGTCCTGTTTGAAAGTCCTTATTCTGCACCACAGACACTATGATACTCTAGCAACTGGAATAATTTATTTCCATCGGTTTTATATGTTTCATTCCTTCAAACAGTTCCCAAGATACGTAAGTATTTACAATATTGATGACTTAATACAGTGATTGCACTATGCATAGACTGTTTGAAATGGCGATAAGTCACTGCTGGCCACCACTGTGGATGGTGAAAAATAAGCAATTTATCTTTTAATCATTACAGCTGTTACATACACACTGTTCTTGCTTGTTTACAGATTTCTATTTATGCTTAGAAACATATTTATATTGACATCGCAATTATGTCTTGCAGATACTATTCTTTAGAAAGAGTAACAGCTGTAGTTCTGGCACTCCTGTATTGGCTAAAAGAAAAAAAGAAGTGTAATACCTCCTTAAAACTGCTTGACAGACAATGCTGAACCAGGACAAATTCTGCTTTGGGTTTATGACCTTGAAATAAAGTTGTATAAAACGAACAGCCTTCCAACTTCTGTATTGTTCCTTTGAGAAAGTAAAAGTTTAAATTAACTCTATGATAAAATTAGAAATTAATATGCTTATTAAGTCTTTCCTGGGAAGCTTCTGTGGAACTGTTAATGGAAACTGACAGTGCTTTTACAATGCTGTAGTGTATTGCATATCTGCATGCAGACAACTTTTTGAAAGCACTTTCTTTTTTAGGTGACGGGAGCCTGCTGTCTCTTCCTAGCAGGAAAAGTTGAAGAAACGCCCAAGAAGTGTAAAGATATAATTAAAACAGCTCGTAGCTTGCTAAATGATGTACAGTTTGGACAGTTTGGAGATGACCCAAAGGTAAAAATAGTCATGTTGAAATTGATTTCATCCTATTGTACTCCAGCAAAGTGACATACATTCAGTAGAGCACTGACTGATTTTCAGTCGTTCTAAATCAAATTATATGTTCAGCATGTGTTTGTAGCTCTTTTGGGTAATGTGGTAGGTAACTATGAGAATAATTCTTGCTAATACAAATAGCTTTGGGAGCCTACTGGGATAATTGTTTGTATTAAAAGTTTACATTTGATTTCATGTAAATTCTGATGTTATTTTGCAAATTAAACTAAATTTGAGTAATTCTGGTCAGAGCTAGAAATGTCATCAAGACATAAATCATATTTGACAGTCTTAATGTTGTTTTAGGAAGCAATTAATAGCAAATCTGAAGTAAGAGAATGACATCTCAAAAGTATTGAGAAGTTTCCTGTTTAGAGTATTTGACTTAGCAAAACTATACTTCTCTCAAAATTTGTGTGGTATAAATAGCAGAAGGATCTGAAACTCGGGAGAGAAATGTGGTGAGTGCTTAGCTTTTTGTTGTGATTTTTTATGTTTGGCACTTTCATGCCGTGTCTGGTTCAGTTCTCTTCTCCAGGAGGAAAAGGAATTTTAAACACCGTATCCCCTCTCCTGACTCAAATAAATGTGAAGGCAAAAGCATCTGGGTTTAAAATAATGTTTTAAGTTGGAGAGATTGCTGTTCTCCTTGGAGACAAACCCTAATCAAGCAAAAGCAGAGAAATGTGTTTGCCTGGAGATGCTATGTAGTCATGCTTTATACCAGCATAAAATATTTGTGAATAAAAGAATAATAATATTGTGGTTACATTGTAACATTCTCTAGGAAGAAGTGATGGTCCTTGAAAGAATCTTACTACAAACAATAAAGTTTGATTTGCAAGTGGAACATCCATACCAATTTCTTCTCAAGTATGCCAAACAACTCAAAGGTAAAATATTACAGGGTGAGCAAGTAATGCCTGTTATTAATTTTCAGAACTTAATTTACATTAGCAGTGCAAGAATATTCTATTCCAAGCTGTTTGTCCTTCCTAATTTTATTTCTTACAATTTTTCTGATTGTTTTTTAGGAGACAAAAATAAAATTCAAAAACTAGTTCAAATGGCTTGGACATTTGTCAACGACAGGTAAGATACTTCTAGGAAATCTTCTGAAAGTGTAATAGTTACTGTTGATTATTGTATTCTGGGATTAGATATTTCTTTGACAAGTGTTTGTTATATGTTTTCTGCTTGTTATATGTTTTCTTGACTGTGTTCATCAGTTTTTCTTTCCATCATTACCACGATAGTTCCATTGAGCAAGGAATCTAGGATGAGTGTAGAAGTAGACCATTAAGACTTTTGCAATTTTGTGGTAACGATTTAGTGCTGCATTAACAAAAAGGTACCATCTGAAAGGGCCAAGCCAAATTACAGATCTCCAGGATAGAAGCTGGCTTCTTGCACAATCTGAGATATGTGGCACATTCCAAGAAAAGAAGTCACTTCCCAATTCCATCACGTTGGTCAATATTTTTAAAGCAATATTTTGGTAGTAGTAAACCAGCTGTTAAATTCAATGAGGAATACAGTTTTTAGTGCTAGATTTACAATTTCTTGAATAATGGTTTTGCTGTACAAGGATTGCATTAATTAACAGGAGTGTGTGTAGAAGCACTTTTAATGTGTCTTGTGGTATTAGAAAACAAAACCCAAAACAACTTGATACACTTTAGTCTTGTTAAGGATTCTACAGAGCTGGGCAAGTTAATTCACCGAGGACGGTTACATGTAATTTTTAATTTCCATAGCAGACCCTTAAGAAAATGTGTAAGTGGCCTGACTATTCAGAAATGCTAAATACATTGCTTTCAGTCATAGCTACAGTAATAGAACACCTTGAAAAAAGAGGTGCATTTTTATTCATATGCCTAATTTGAGGTAGACCAGTGTGAGTCCAACTTCTGTAGATATCTCCTCAACTCTCCAAATTAACTTGAGAAAAAGGCTGCTTAGCATGTTTGGATGTCAAGAGATTTTTACTTCAGCTGCTGTCTGTCTTGCAGGTACTGATCTTACAGGTGGAACAAAAATACAGCTTGACTGTCACTGTTAAGTTTGTCAGGGAAAACTTTGGTTATGTATCCATCAAATTTAAACACTACTGTACTTGGACTTAGATGGTGCTTAATAATTCAATAAATTTACTAATTAAAGAAAATGCACTTCAAGAAAACGTGTATGAAGTTGGAGTGATTGTTTCAAATAATACTTATCTCTGTTCTCGAGAGGCTGTCTTAGTAGGCACCATATTAAAGTGTAGTTGTTTTCTAGGATCCTGGGAAAATAATTCTGTACTTTGCAGTGCAGGCCTTTAGAATAGGGGGTTCTGTTCTTAAACAGCTGCATTACACCCCCCCCCAAGTAAATGTCATGAAGTAATAATAAGAAATCTGTGTTTTAAGAGCTAGTTCTTGTGTCTCTTACTGTGGACTGCTGACCTGATTCTGCCAGTGTTTAAATATCCCATTGGGCTTCAGTTAAATGTAGTCCACTGGAGAGAAAATGGATTTAAACCACCATCTAGGGTACTATTTTGATGCATTTAGGGACATAATAATAAATTCAGTAGTGAATTTTCAGAAACTTAGCTGGTTAACTGGATCTAAAATTCTTCAAGCAGTTCCTATGATACAGAATCTACTGAGGAAAAAGATGACCTTTAGGGCGTCCCTTCCAACCCAAAACATTCTATCATTCTATGAAAAAAGGAAAAGAAAGAAGAGAAAAACAATTTTTGTAATTTAAAATTAGTATCAGGAAACAGTAACTTTTGATTATGACAGGAACTTCCTCAGTTAATATCAATAATACCAATAATATCAGTTATTTTAGCATTAGCTTTAACAAAGGCTATTAGAGATAACCTTTTACAGTTTTTACAGCTTGATCTAAAACTTGCATTGTGCTTGACAAGTTGCTTTACAATTTCATGTTGCCTGTTCTGTACTTGTTTATTTTATTGAAAAACATTTGGAAACTCTAAAAACCAAATGTGGGCATCATTCTCTACCAGGGTAATGCAGTGACAGCACATGTGTGTAGCGATGAACATGAACACTATATTTACATAATGCTACAGGTGAGACTAGAGTGGAATGTAGCTGCCCATACTTGAAATATAATGCTGTCTTTTCCCTCCTCTTCCACACGCATATAGTGTTAGGTTTTCTATTTTTAATCTCCAAACTTAACGTTCCTGTGTGGTGTATTGCTTCTGTAGGCAAATTCTGTATTATCTGTGTAAAATTACCTTGTTTCGTGATAGCAGTAGTGCAGGAACAGTTCAGTTTTGTAAACATTTTTGTTTAACAAGGCTCTTAATTAAAATTGAGATGTTAAAGTGTGGTGGGATTTCATACCCTGTTAATTATAGCTGTCATATATTAAACAGTTGTGCTTTGGCAATCAGGATTATCTTCAGGGTTGTGTTTTGTTTTGTTTTTTTTCATACTCCAGTCTCTGCACTACACTGTCACTGCAGTGGGAACCTGAGATCATAGCTGTTGCAGTTATGTACTTAGCAGGCCGTCTGTGTAAGTTTGAAATACAGGAATGGACATCAAAACCAATGTACAGACGATGGTGGGAGCAATTTGTTCAAGATGTTCCTGTTGATGTTCTGGAAGGTATGAAAAACATTTGCCACAAACAGCGAAGTATTTTCTTTAACTGTGTGATCTAGGTCACTGGAAAATGCAAATTGCTTTGTATCTGGGTTTTAGTTAAAATAATTGTGTGGTGTATGTAACCCAGGACATATGTGCCATGCCTTAACCAGGTTTTTAATTAAACTTCTAAGACTGGCTTAGTCTTAGCATCTTTAGTTATGATGAGTCTTCTGGTCAGTATTTGCTTTACTACTTGTTTAGTTTATAACACTAGCTGCTAAATTGTCATGATGTTTTCTTTTTTAATTATCCCCTTCTCCCCATTTTAAATAAGCAGCTCTGTGAACACTGGAACTAATGGAGCTTCATTTCCAGTGATTTTCTCATTGATGATTGACCTCTTTAACCAAATAATGCTAGGGTTGCAATCACGTTTTATGGTGTATCATGACTGAGGAACACATTATGGGGGATGAATTCTGGTGTGTGTGAATTCTGATAGGGGATGAATTATGGATCTTCTTCATCCATACAGATGTTTTAATACATTCCCTTTATTGTGTATATATTGCCCATATTTAACTGCTGTTTGTCCTCTTGAGAGAACCCCAATAAGTTAATAAAATAAAGCAGGATCTCTTGACTCTTGAAGTAAATTGTGGTTATGTGGCCAGTAATTTGTCTTTAATAATGTTTTTACTAACTTACCTGGTACAAATGTCAGGCTAAGCATACTTCTAGTTCCATAAATTGCTTTAGAAATCTTCTTTAAAAATTGATGCTTGTCACAGTCTGGTGTTCAGTTCTAAGGAAGTTTTAAAGGAAACAGAATGTGTTGCTGTTCAGGTGGTTTAGGTTTTGTTGCTCTTAGAACTTTTAGGTGAATACCATGCAGTTCTGGTGATTTCTTAAAAGGTTACTTGCTCTGTTTGTATCATGGCTTTTTTCAGAGTTGCTTCAGTTTCAGATAGATCTCTGCTGCATCCCTGCCAAAGAGGGTTATAGAACAGGAGTGTCTCCAGTTTCTGCTACTGCATCAGTGAATGCTCATTGAAAGAACTCCTTTAGCTTTTCTAGAAAGGTTTTCTTCTCCTTGTGTGCTGCTCTTGCACCTGGTTATCAGTTGGTCCTACATGTTTTCTGACAGACCTTTAGCGCCTAACATGTTGGAAGAAGAATTTAGTACTAGTCCTTTACTTAGTTTCCTGAAACTGGCCTAACTAGATGTGTATGTTTTAACGTTCCTTCACTCACTTTCTTACCATATTACTATCCTATTGTTACACTATTACCTGGCTCTCTAAGCACACAATAATAACATATGCTATATTAATGCCAAGGCACTTGTTCCTTTGGAAGATTTGCATATACATCTACATGTTATTTAGCATAGGCAGGAGAAACTTGGAAATGAAAGTAAAAATTGAAAAAAGTCTTGTTTTTAAAAAAATCACATCTGTGATCATTATAACAATGAATAATATTTACAATGACTTTTTCAAAGTTGATGTCCAGTAAAAAGCTTGGTTGATTATTGTGTATTAAATATATACTTGTACATTATAGGTGTATAATCTTTTGGATTTTTTTTTTTTTTAAGACATCTGTCATCAGATCCTGGATCTGTACTCACAGGGAAAACAGCAAATGCCTCATCATACTCCTCACCAGTTGCAGCAGCCACCATCACTTCAATCTACACCCCAGGCACCCACAGTACAACAATCGCAGCAATCCCAGGGTTCAGAGCAATCACAGACTCAGCAGCAAAAAGAGTCGCAACAGTCAGCACAACAACAACAGCAGCAGCAGCAGCAAACACAAGCACAGCAATCTAAAAAGCCCTCTCCCCAGTCAAGTCCTCCTAGGCAGATTAAAAGACCAGCAGTAAGTTTAACTTTGAACTTTAACTTGCATTTTATTTACAGGCTGATCCATTTGATTTAAAGGCTGCAGTGTGCAGCAGACTTGTGTTGAGCCTGGTAATTAATTCTGTATGGTAAACTTCTGTTGGTTATATGGCAAGTATAGTGTAGAACAGGCTTTACAGTTTTGGCATACCACATTCTCATTCCACTTGAGGCAAAACAAGTGGAGAGACTTTTAAGTCAGCATGAACAATTAAAGTTCTAACTCTCTTTGTGGTTCTGTGCTATCAAATTGTGTTGTTTTCGCAGGCTTGATTTAGGGAAGGTCTCTTGTGCTATACCTGAATGTAGAGATGTGCACAGTGCTGATGAAGATACTATTTTGCTTCCTGGTCTTTGATAACAAATTTAAGAGAATGGTGGCTTCTCAAAGTATGTCAAAATTCTTAGAAGTCTTTCAAAATAATCTAATAACAGTAGAAGCCTATAAATGCATCATATGTTAAAGTCTCACTTTGTATTATCACCTCATTGTTGAAAATAAGGAAGTACATTAGCAGTTGGATAATATCACAAGTACTGTGAGTGCTTTTCCACAGTCATCAAGTCCAAATGAAGCTTTCAGGCCTTAATCTACACTTTTTGTGGTTTTGTTTTTTTTTTTTTCTCTACTTGTGAGTTATCAAATAAAAAAAAAGGTGTTAAAGCGTTACCCAAATCTTCTTACATGTACTTAGTAAGAAGAGTGTTTTTGGAAGTAAAATCTTCGGAATGAGTCCATTTAGGAAGTAAATTTTGTACAACTTCTACAACTTTTGTTCTAATTCGTAATTAATGCATACCCAATTAGAGAACAGACATCGGGGGAAAAAAACCCAACGAAACAAAACCAAAAACCCAGGAAGAAGCAACAAATGATAGCGTGAAATGGAATTGGAAGGTAGCATCGTTATGATAGCAACCTCCCAAAAAAAAAGAAAAATGGAACTCTGAAACCTTGGTCTTGTAATTACAAGACATAGCCTACTACTAGAGGAAAAAATCTGCACTGAAATATATAGCTCTTGCACTGAACTTTAGAGTTGTTCAGGATAGAAACCTGATAAAATGTGTTAATTAGCTTAAAAATTGGGAGACCTTTTTATAGGTAGTGCGTATTTGTTTTCATACTTCTTCTACCATCAGCACAAACTCAGCTTGGTTTGTCAGATTGGTAGGCCAGGGAACTCTTCTTGTTTTTCCTCAACAGAAATGACTGGAATAGTTTGGCGCATCAGAAACTGTAAATAACAGTTTGGATTTTTCTATATGTGTCCATCTGATTGTAAGTTGTTACGAATGTTTGTTCATTCATTTAAAGGCCCTACCTTTACAGTACTACTGATTTGACCCCATCCCATGCGTTAATGAACTACCTCATGGAAAAATGTGGCGCCTTTTGCGTGAATTGTGTCTGCTGTTCTTTAACAGTCACCTCTGGTCAAGCCCTCAGAGCAGCTTACCTTTTCCTAAAATTAAGAGTTTGAGGTCCACTGCCTAGTAATTAAGGAAGTGAATAGTACAGATAAAAAGGTAAGTCTTGGTACACTGTAGGCATCCAGAACAAATAGGAAGCAAAGGGTGACTCACAGGAGGAGTTTTGTAGGAGAACAGCACAAACAGCATGGATTTGAGAAAAGCAAATTTGATGATCTCAAATCATTCTTTCTCCAGAAAGCAGTCTAGGAGAACAAGACGTGTAGTGTTTGGAAGATTTGCTTGGCACTTCTACAATGTTCTTTAGTTAGATGTGCCATAAACCTTACTTAAAATGTTTGCCTCCTTCTATAAATAGGGCTTTGCATGACTTCTCCTTCGGTTTGTACAGAACATAAATACACTTTGTTCCTGGAGGCCAGATTTTCCATTTACATGAACTCTTATAACTCTGTTACTTTCTACTGAGCCAAGATACTTTCAAGCAGTTGAGGCATTGGCCCATGACTTACAGACCTGTACCAGATGTCTAAAGCATCTGGGCATCCTCTGCATCTGTGGTGGTGAAGAGCACTTGAATGTTCAGTTGACTTCACTAAAAACATGCTGATGAATCATAAGCTGTAAATAGTATGTTTAGTTTGATTAAACTAAAAATTGTTAGTGGGAACAATTTTAATGCACTTAGAAACATCACTAAATGAACAGTTCCATTGTGGTATGGATCGTGCTTATTATGAGAGTATTAAGTAACAATCAGCATGCTAATAATCAGTCATGTCTGTCATGTCATGAGTGGAGCATTGCAAACTACAGTGCAGTAGAAGGACCAGAAAAAATCTCATCTGTATTTTAGCAGCTGCCATTTATTAGAGAAGTGGTTTAAATTCTTACAGGCTTTGGTTTTGTTGCTTCTTGATCTTTTTTTTTTCTTTTTTTCTTTAGCAAAAATACAGCTTAAACTGATGTTTGTTTTTCTGTCACACGAGCTGTTTGTCTCCAATTACTTATTTTGTTCTAATGGTATACCTCAGTGACATCACAACTGACTTCACAGAACGAGTGATTTTTGGAAATGTTGCAAGTAGTGGAGACTTGCTTTTGTTTGAAAGTGCAGGGAGATCTGATGTTTGCATTCAGTTTTACAGAAGAGGATTTTAGTGGTAGAAAATAGAGAAAAGACTGCCCAAGTAAAATGAAGGCAGCAGATGAGTCTGTGAGAGTCACCAAGAAAAGTATGTATGTTTGGAATAGGAAGATAAAGATTGTCCTTAAAAAGTAGAAAAGCAGCCAGAAGGTGGCTGAAGATGAATTGAGATGTCTATCAAAGTGATATAAGAATGAGGTAGCCTCAAGCAGGCCTTGGGTACCTTTGTATTGGACAGCAGAAATCTGCAGAATACCCATCAGAATTAAGGAGAATTCATTGTTCAAACTGCAGTGAAATGTAAGTCCATAGTCGGTGAAGGTGAAGCCACTAGAGGCAAATAGGCCCTTAAAAAAACCCCTTTCACTCAAAAGGCAGAGAAGGTATGTACTGCTCCCCTTTGACTTTTATCATTAATTTTAAATACAACTGTACCTAAGCTTATTGTACTTAAAATTTCAGTTCGGTTTTCTGCTTTTCTCAGAGACCATCCACTAGCTATCTCAGACTAAGTAAGCTGGAAAGGTTTTTCTTATTCCCTTGTCTGTGATTCTTTAAAAAAAAACCCTCAACAAAACAACAACAAACAACAACAACAACAAAACAACCAAAAACTTGTGATTGGAAGGATGATGTGAGGTTTTGTGGGTTTTTCTCAGTGTGCATAATTTTTTTTTTCTGGCATAACATTTGGCTTTTATACAGTGCTTTCCATCTGAAGGCTTCTGAAATGTTTTACACTGAGCAACACTTTCACTGCCCTTCTGTCCTGGTAAATAAAGCATAAAGGCCTAAAGTGATTTTGGCGAAGGTTGAATGATGGGTCAAAGCAGAATCAGGAACAGAGGCCAAGTCTTGCTTTCAGCTCAGTGAGCAGTGTACTGGGCCATGATGTATGTGTAGTGGATGATAAATAAATTAAATGAGAAGTAATACTCAACAGCAAGAACAGCAGGAAATGCTGTATCTGAAACAGCTGCTTATTTTTTCAGTATCTCTGTTCTGCCAGTTAAGCTGGGCTTTCCCAATAGAATTTGACTTTGTTCGGTGTTTGTGTTGCGTCTGTCTGAAGAGATTGGATGTTATTAGCCTCCTGATAAAAATATAGGACCAAATAAAGGGTTTGTCCTGCCTCCTTTTAGGGAAGGGAGGGAGAAACTGGTTCTGGTTTAGTCAGATCTTTACAAAAGCTTTTCAGCAGGCTGTAAGTTGTTTCTATTTTGCTCGCTTCTTACCATTTTAAAATGCTTTGTATTTTGCAGTGGTCTTATTTCCATATCTCTTTTTTTTTTTTTTTTTTTTCTTCCCACAGGCTGTATCTCCAAAAGAAGAAACAAAGCCATCAGGTAAATGTTCATGTTCTATTCATATTGCTTTTATTTCACTATTTTAACTAGAATAAGTCATTTGCTGATGTGCACCGAGTTTGTTTGCTCACAGGCTTGGCAGTTCTCAACTATTTTGGTCCTAATAATGCGTCTTTAAATATATACTGTAACTATTTTTAAAATGTTCCTAACTGCAAAAGTTGAAAAAATGGAGTATAACTGTTTCCCAAGAGTCCCTTAATACAGTCTATTCAGTAGAGGTCTTGCTAAACTACTTAACTCCCAATGTATGATTCCATGCATCATTTGGAGTAGTTCTTCAGCAAGCTGTGGGACCTTGAAGTGACTGAAGGTACCATGTCATTAAATAGCTGCACTAATAAGTCTGTTGGTAATCAGTGACATTTGTAATTGGTTGTTGGCACAGCTGCCAGTAAAAGGCATTTTGTATCAATATATAGTCTAGTTCCAGAAATGCTTCACTGCAGTGATGACATCTGGTTCTTTTTGTTTGCTTGGGGTTTTTTCCTTCATTTTGCTCTTTTGGAACAATGTATCTCAGGATAGCTAGGATGTCATTCTGTAACTTTTCCTCAGTGAGTCTGGCATTTCTGCCCCTCTGGCTCTGCAGATAGATTCCAGAGAGCTGTCTCTTCTCCCTCCTCTCTTCCGTGCAATTGCCATTCTCTTTGATTTCTAGACACGTGTTCCCCTACCAGAGCATAGTTCAACATCTTCCTGAGATTTGCCTTAACTATTTACAAGTTACAGTTTTGTGCTAGAAAATGTAGACATGCTTATCTTCACATACTTACTGTTATGGGACAATTTATCTCTAGTTATAAAAAACATAGCTTGAACTTGTAGGCATGTGATCTTTTGGAAGACTTGTATGTGATACTTGATGCCACTTTATTTATACAAAGGTCTTGATTTTAATTTTCTTTATTAAACATACATAGTGTGTAGGATTTCCACTGTACTTTTGCATAGTGTAATATGATAGGATAATCATTAGCATGAGAACAGAGTTGGAATTTGGAAAGTATTGCAGAGCAACAGCCAATTAGGAACTTCCAAATGTTTTTTAGAACCACCACCACCATCTAAAATTCCTAAAATTGAAACTTCACATCCACCCATACCTCCTGCACATCCACCTCCAGGTAAGCCTTTATTTTCTTTAACACATTTGCTCTTGCCATTAATTGCCTTGCTTTTCATTCAGGTGGCGGGTAACCGTGTGGGAGCAAGGATTGTTGCCTTGATTAATCAGCTTGGCAAGTAAAAGCATTAGGGAGATAAGCTCCAAAGGGATTTTCATCTTAGTAGCACAGGCTTTTCCAGACAGAAGCAAGAGTTGTAATGGAAACACAACTATACTAGCTGGACAAAGGCAAAACAAAGCTGTGACTGTTAAAGGCATAGAAGACTTAAAGCTAATTGCCGCTAGCAGGCACAAAGGCAGTTACGTTCTCAGAAGGGTGGCAGATGTCATATTATATTACTAGAGGAGCTTCCAAACATCCTATAGAAGTCCTCCATGTTACATCTTTTGTATAGAAATTCTGCAGGTGAGAAACTTCTAAACAATAAAGGGGATACTTTCTTTGCTGTGTCCCAAAAGAGGACTTTCATCTGCCAGAGAACTTTAACACTGCACACATGCCTTATGTTTGCAAAATAAACTCTGCTGTTGTAAAAATGTGCTTCCAGTGCCTTGATTAGCTGTCCTTCCAGTGACCCTTAAATATGACATAAATATTTTATAGACCATGGTCCGTAATGTAACTGTAAGATGACAGCTTCTAAAGGGGAACTACAAGAGAGAAAAACAGTTCTCTGAAATATAGTAGGGCCATTTTCCCCATTTGTTAAAATCTAATTAAGAATGAAGGGGTTCTTTGAAATAGCATGTTCATCATTCCTTCAGTTGTTAAATCTTGAATGCACATCTCGCATCCAGAATGATTCTGAAAATGAGCAAATAGGGAAATTATTGCGCCCCGTACTTTAGGAGCTAGAAGTCATTGAAATCGTAGGTACCGCAGCAGCAAACCCGCCTTACATGATCTAATTATGTAGCTGTCCTAGGGGACAGTTTTGCTGTTAAAATTATGGCTGCTTAGATAAGGTAACGAATTTGTTTCCTTTGTTATCTAAAATTCTCCTCTTACAATGCTTGTATAAACAAATTGTGTAAGCACTGAAACATTTTAAGAATCATCTTTAGAGGCCAAGTCTTGTCTTTTGGGGCTCTGAGGAAAAATCAGGTAAAAACAATGTTTATTGACCAAATGAACAGAAGTACTAGAAGGTGGATTTATCTTAATTCCATTTAGCATTGTCAGTTGTTGCATGTCATAGGAAATGACTGCCCTATATCTGCTTCTAAATAATTTTCTTCCTGAACAATGTTTTAGATGTTTATATATACAAGTAAGATGGATGTCAAGATGCCCCGAATTCTTTTTTTCTTGGGCATTTTAACACTGTCTGTATGACCATAGAGAGATGTTGTCATTAGGTCAGTCTTCTTATTGTGGTATTCCTTGCTTTTTAATGGCTGCATTAAGAGGGAAAAAAAAAATTAAGATTCTTATTTAAAGAGAAGACAGCTTAAAGCATGTTCTTCCCAGAAATGGCCAAGTATAATTCTGTGAAATTCTGACCTTTTTATGAAGTTCCCCAGACTGTCAGGTACTGAGTTCCCTGAAACTAATCAGTGGAACAAAGCTGATCACATTTCATGTCCCAAGCAATCTACTGCAATTTCTTACTTACACTTAAGGGTTTGGTTTTTTCTTTCATTTGGTAAACAGGTTTCGAACTGAGTGTTAAAGACTTGAGACTTTGGCCTGTATTCTCAAATAATATTTCCCAACATGGGAAGCAAGTGAAGTGCAGAGGGTAGTCCCAGGCCCCCTCCTGGAGTATAAAAGGGGTAGAAGGGAGGCCTGGACTAAAGAAGGTTGAAGCACTGATCAAAAGATTTTTAATATCTTGGGTCCCATGACTTTTTAAATCGGCTAGTTGTGATTCTGTCCATCCAGTCTGCTAATTTCTGTTGATTGCAGAACAATATTTAAAATATAAGAAAACAGTAATAAGAATGGAAGATGTATCTAACTTTTTGAATGGGAAAAGCTGAACTTGGAGCTTTGTTATGCAGCTTAGTTATTTTCTAGTGCTATAAGAAGGTCTGACTGGGTACCATATGGCATTCAGAGACTTAGAGAATTGAGTCCCCTTTTGATATGTTAACTGTAAGAAGAATATAAACTATGCAGAAGCTGTTATTGCTACTGTCCTTCAAAAAAGAAATGAAATTTTCTTTTCCAGAGCGCAAGCCTCCTTTGACAACTGCAGTTTCAATGGGAGAAGCAGAGCAATCTACTACTGTGGACTCGGTAGATATGCCAAAGGTCCAGATTCCTCCCCCTGCTCACCCTGCCCCAGTACATCAACCTCCACCTCTGCCGCATCGCCCCCCACCCCCACCCCCCACCAGTTATATTACAGGGATGTCTACTACAAATTCTTATATGTCAGGGGAGGGTTATCAAAGTCTTCAGTCAATGATGAAAACAGAAGGACCAACATATGGCGCTTTACCACCGGCCTATGGACCACCAACTCATCTACCATACCATCCTCATGTCTATCCTCCCAACCCTCCACCACCAGTTCCACCTCCACCCCCTACTTCATTCCCCCCACCCAATATTCCACCTCCTACTCCTGGATACCCTCCTCCACCTACCTACAACCCTAATTTCCCACCTCCAAGACTGCCTCCAACGCATGCAGTGCCACCTCATCCACCTCCAGGGCTGGGAATGCCACCAGCTAGTTACCCCCCGCCTACTGTTCCCCCAGGTGGACAGCCACCTGTACCACCTCCAATTCCACCACCTGGTATGCCACCTGTAGCAGGACTTGGACGTGCTACGTGGATGAGATAGCATGAGGTAATTTGCACGATGCCCCTTTATGTTGACTAGGCAGGAGTAGCTAGCCAAAACCTACTTTGTAAAGATGAAGAGGAGGGTAATTTGTATAATTTAGATGAAGAAATGAGGCAGTGACATGAAAATTTAGCTGATCTGTTTGCAGTATTGTTGATGGTGAGTTATATAGGCTTCTAGATTTTAATCAGCTTTGCAGTATCTATTCTAACTTTATACGTTTGACTTAAGTTTAAATTGTCTTGAGTTATTCCAGCACTGGATTACTTTGTACTAGCAAAACCAGCCATATTGGCTCAATTATATCAGTAAGAAGAAAATTTCCTTCTAGAAATCAGTGCCTATTTTTGAGTATCAAAATAGCCAGATACCATGAAATTTCATCTGTAATAACAAACTTCATTTTTAGTAATAATTAAAACAACACGATGTCAAGCATAAAAGCTGCTTTATTTAAGAGAGATTCTGAATGCTAGCTGACTGGAATCATTTTGAGGTGTTTGCCTTGCTGATATTTTTGTTTTGGAATGTACTGGTATCTTAAAGTATTGTATGTTTACACCTATTTGCAAATTCCTGTACATAATATATATATTTTCTAAGTGTGAAAGTCTGAATGTAACAACCTACTGTGATGTACATCCTGGATATAAATGGGACTACTTTGTTCACATCTACCCAAATAAAATTGGTTCTGAATTTAGTGGATTTGCAGGTTTTTCATATTAATTCAGACTATATAACTATGGTACTTACTGCAAGATATTTCAACAGTGGTCTCCCAGATCTTACTCAGCAGTTTATTTAAAAAGAATGTATTTTATTTTATTCAACTAGAAGTATACACTATCACAATCAATCTCTTACTTCATTTTTACTAAAATATTTCAAATGAATGTTTTACACACATTATCAAAAAAATCTGTACTATTACTTTCCCTCCCCAAAAAAGCCAGAGTGGTTCAATAATAGGTAAAAACGCGTGCTAAGGTCTAAAGAGTTTTGCTATATACACAACAGCAGGTGCTAACTTTTCCAGTTCTTTGTAAATCATATACAGAAAATATAGCAGGGCTGTAAGATCACAGGTTTAACAGAAATCAAATTTTAAACTGATTTCTAAAGCAGCACAAATAGACTTTCCCCACATTATGAAAAATATACAATTTTATCACTTTACAGTCATGCACTTTTGAAAAAGATCAGTAGTACTCTTCCCCCACAGTTTCTAAAAAGATAAAAGGTCACTTTAACACTGATTTTATTTTAATAACTAATATTTGGATAAAAATGTGCCATTCTTAAACAAGGTTGTGCTCAGCAGTCTTATCAAGGTGCAGAGAGCCAACTGAAGCTGGTTACAATGCAGCATTTCAGAAACTTTTATGGAAATGCCATTCACTCCAGCCACTCCAACAAAAGTCAAGGATGTGATTTTTACTTCCCTTAAGCAAGCAAAGTCCATTTGTAAACAGTGGATGCTTTCTTTGCCAGAGGATTGCAGAACCCAGGGCTTCAATCTTGAGGAAATTAACTTGGAATGTTGCCCCAAATATATGAATTTAATGGCCGCTATTTCAGGGGGATGCTCCCCTCCAACTTAAGCTACAAAGCTCCTCAGGTAGTTTTCACCGAAGACTTAGCGCATAGGTAAGTGAATTTAAATATGCATATAACATCTTTTTAGACAACTGAAAATTCAGCACTCAAGTCATCCTGTAAAGTCATTGAGTGTCGTTTTGCCCCAGGAGGACACTTCAGAGCTTGAATGGAGCGATGTATGCAGAGTAGCAAGCCCAACACACACCCCCCCTGCGCCCCAAATAACACCCCAGTGTACAGCACTGTCGTGTTCTTCTGCAACATCAATGATGCACTTCTTCCTTACAGTGAAGATTTATGCTGCCAAACAGAACCTCAATGAAACAGGGTCTACCTTCAGAATATCCAGACTGTTCAGCTGAACTACAGGCTACCCTGTGAACTGGCTCTTTGGGATTTGCAGCACTAACGGACCGCTGCTGCACCAGGTGGAGATCTGCAGGTGGAACAAGCCAAGCTTTGCTTGAAGTCATTGAACAGATTTTGAAAGAGATTTGATAGCAGGGGATGTTTGGATGAGAATTACATAGCTGGTGAGACTAGTAATCTGATTAGTACAGCGCTTGTCTTGTTGAGAGGGCCTGCTAGTCTAATATACTCCTAAAATAGCAAGCACGTCATCAACACAATTAACCCTTCACAAGTCCTGGCAACTTTTGCATTGCTTTAGTTAAAACGCACTGATGTAAATTAACCTTGTTCCCAATATGCTCAAATTCTCTGCTTAATCCAGCGATTAGATGCCACCAAAATTAAAATGGGCTTTCAAGCAGATACATTAAAGTAACCCTCCGTTTGACATTAGATGTTCAGGAAGAATGATGCTTTTGCTTTACATCACCTTTTCTGGTACAAAAATCTCAAGGTATAAATTGTACAGGAGGAAGACAAGTAATCAATGGTGACCAGAAACAGGAGGTCAAAACAAAAAGCAAAGGGGAGGAAATCTGGAATCCTCTAAAGATGCCGTATTTTAAAGGAGACAGTCAGACTCTAGAATGGATTTTTCCAGACACACTGGATGCAAATATTACTAGAATAAGAGTTTGCTAGCTCAGCGTTTGCTGACAGAGCAGTAGTATGAGAAAAAAACTTACTGGTGTGTGTGTGTGAGTGCAGAGTATGCGTGGCTGGGTTAGGGGTGTTTCTTGTGGTTTGGTTTTTTTTTTTTTCCCCCCCAAATAACCTACTCATCTTGACTGTTACATTTTTATTTCTGCAATAATGAAGTGGTGTTTACTCTTACTGGTTACTATGTATTTTGGTTGTATTCTTTCTCTGGTTTTTTTAGTGGCTACAGATCTCAGCTCTGACATTCCAAATTTCAGGCAGCTAGATTGCTGTATGCCATGGGACCAGTTACCTTTAAGAACTTGCAGCATGGGCTCCTTGGCATTGTAGTGGTGCTCCATGTTAATACCATACCACAAGTCAAGAACTCAACTGGTAGAACAAATTAATTTAAGAGGAAGATCCTGTCCAGCTAATTCAGCTGTCTGTAGCTGTGACTGTTTCTTATGGAGAATAAAAGCAAGTGATGGTGTTTGAGGTCATTAAATCTTTGAACTAATCACTAAAATCAATGCAACTTTTGAAGAGGAGGCTTTGATCTTTTCACATGCCCGTGTTTAAAATTATTTTGCACCAATTATTTTAATAACCTACCCCCGCTTCCTTGGACTATTGGGAAAGAACATCTAATAAAATACAGGGACAGCTGCTGTGACAGCTTGGAAAAGAAGGGGGTCAAATTCTTACAACTATACAAGCAGCTACTCCACAATAGCAAAATATAAGTCCCACTGTTTTATATACAACCATTAGAAGAAGGAAAAACCCACTTGTTTTGGTTCATTAACAAAAATAAAGCTTGAATGGCAGGGAATAGCCTCACCCAACAGCCCATGTTTATAGAGTTTTTATTCGGCTCTGCAAGGTTGTTGTTCAGTTACCTTACACAGGAATCAGTATAAGTGAGGGATCCAGCAAGAACATTAAAAAAACCCCACCCCAAATCTTCCTTGTGTGAAAGATGAGCTGATCTCGAAGATCCTGTGAAAGCCATAAGCACTGTTAGGACAGCAGTTTCTGCTGAATTATCTTCTAGTAAAAGCTTTAGAGGAAAAGTGTTGCTGTAGTTGTAGGGAATACTGGTGTGTGGCTGAGTGACTTCAGTTCATTCACATTACAACTGCAGAAATCTTGTGTCATTTGTTCAGGAAAAATAGTTCTTTAACAGGTGACATGGAGTCTCAAGCCTTTCTGTACGCTTGTGTGCTGAGTACCACCCTGCAGTGTACAGCGTGGTACCAGTGGGTCTAGCTCGCCCCTCAACATTGTACACAGCGCCTCGTGAAAACAGTTGCATGTCATTCTTCAAAATAAAGACCTCCAAGAAAAGCACCAGCAGCTCAGGAGCTTGGCAGGCAGTAAGCCAACGCATTCCTTCCCCTGAAAGGTGCGGCGGGGAGCCACTAACCCAGCTATGAATCATTTGACAAGCAGGTGGACTGGAGCGATACCAACTGTGACTTCTCCGCAGGTTAAGGGTTCTTCTTGTTCCTCTTAGAAATTCTCTCGGGTTAGTTAATTCTACAAACAGACCATTACAACCAAGCGGGTTTGAACTACAATACAAATGATGCAGGTCTGGCATTATTGGATGGTTACCCATTGAACAGTAATTCCAGAGCACCACAGCCTGGAAATCAGGCCTTTAGCTGCCGTATTTACACCATTGTTACCAAAAAAAAAAAAAAAAAAAAAAGAAAAGAAAAGTAAAAAGGAAACCCTGAAAAAAAACTCAACCCCAACTCCCAAAGAACAGGCAGCCAGAAACGCTGAGCTCTGCCTCTTCAGTCTTCACAGAATCAACCACTTCCAGGCTCCAGGACCGTGTTCCTACAAGGGACCCTTGAACTGGTTTCCTGAAAGATGTTGCCTGATGGAGGGTTTGGAGCTCGCAGCATCACCCAGCTTTCGCCAGACAACCTGTAAGGAAAAATACAAGGGTGAGGGAGAGAAAGACAGGAATTAAAAAAAAAAAAAAACAAACCGAAAGCCTCTGATAAGTTGCAGTATTTTCATAATTGCAGTCTGAAACAAAAAAAAAAGAGCTGTTCCTAGAGCTGGGCTGTAATTCTCAGCAGAGCCACTGGATGGCATCTGTGCACCAGTTTCCAAGGACAAAACATTGATACATTTTTCTAATTAGTCTCTTGAAATTAGAACCATTTTTGCCTGGGGTAATAGTATAAAACAAATACACTAGGTTCAGAAGTTAAGTTCAATGGTAGGTCAACCCTGCCATGCTTACAGAAATGATATTACCATGAACAGAAAAGATAATGAAAAAGTTAATGATTAAAATTACATATATATTTATGACTTTCTAAAAACATACTTTTTACCACTCTAGGGCCACTGGGGTAAGGGAGGCCATTTTTTACAAAATAAGAAACTGCAAAGCACTTCATAGCTGCCTTGAGTCTGCATAAAATGAATATTTAAAGGCAAAACAGCTGATGATACACTAACAGAAATGAGTCCGTTTGGGAGGATGAAGTTATGGCATTTTACCTTTCCCCCTGCATGCCTACAAGGGACTGTGGCACTAAGCAGACAAAATAACCTAAAAAGGAGGCCCTTGTTCATTCTGGTCTTGGCTTTGCTTAGAGGGATCCAGCAACCAAAGCGAAGTGCCTCAACCCCTGCCAAGGATGCTTGCAGCGATTTAGCTCTGCAAGATGCACTTATGTTCTTTACACCCTTTTTTTAGGGTTGAGGTGGTTTTCAGAATTTAAATGGAGGCTTGGGCTCCTCTCTGCTGCTGTGAGGTATTGGACGATGCCACTTGAGCTGACCTCCCAAGGTGGCCTTCTAGAAGAGAAGGCGCCATAAGCATCCTCTTTCCCTGCTGTGGGCACTGCTGGTACAGTCAAACAGCACATCCCCGACTGCAGGCGATGTGCAGCTTGAGCCATGCTCCAGCAGAAATCCCAAACTCTTTGCTCAAAGCCAAAACGTGGCCAAGGTGCTTTGAAGCTGGAGCACAGTGCCACAGCAGCAGACACCACAGAGCGGAGGTTTGGTACACATGCT